TCACAGGGAAGCAAAAATTACCAGTGAACGCCAGGCTGCTTTTGGGACATGTGCTGATAGATCTATTGTTAGGAGGGAGATGTTTCCATGGCAAAACCATCACCCTAAATGGCACTGTAACTCAGCAGAGATGCAATGGTGGCCCCGGGGACTCTTCCTAGTCCATTCCAACCATCTTCCCAGTCCCTGACAACCAGGGAGCTGGGAGCGTGACGGCAGGGGGGATCAGGGCAGCTCACAGTGATGCTTCCCGTGCCACTGCTGCAGCGCCTGGGCTCTGCTGGCAAGGCTGTTGGCTCAGCGTTTTTTCGGTCTTCTCTGACTTTAAAAGAAAATGACAACAAAAGGCAAGCTTGAAATAGCTCATTTTATCTCAGCAGACAAATAACTTGCTTTGAGCATCATTGTCACTCAGGCTAAATTACTTTTAGATGTTTTTAATGACTGGGTAACATTTTTCAGCTGTTCACTCTGTGGCACCCTGCTGGGGGACAGTCCATCTATAAAGACCAAGGACTCTGATGCTGTGGTTGTTTTTCATGACATTCGTTTGGCTTTATTATTTGATGTGTGATTCCCTATGGTGGACATGTTTTCAGCTAAATTTACAACTACAAGCTCTTTTCTTTGCATAAGGGGATCTGTTTCCAAATGGTGCTGGGAAGCTGACTGTGTGGAGCAGCAGAAGGTCAGGGATGTAGAGGAGAAACTGGGAGATTGAAGGTGACAGTCCAAATCCTACCTGTGCTGAGGTTGAGATTACCATAGGGCTGGAGGGATTTTAACTCGTCATTTGTTACCCTTACCTTTCATTTCACTTGTAATGCATGGCATGAGGAGCTGTGACTTGCAAAACGATCCCAGTGGGGACACAGTTTGTGACATCAGCCACACAGGTTTCCCAAATCCCTCTTTCTGAGGCAGGCACAGCTTTTATGTTCGTTCCTGAAGGCAGCTTTTAAGGCACTCGCCGTCGCCATCTTTGGGTTTTGCAGTGCTTCTAGGAGATGTATTTTTAAACTCAAGCTCATAAATTTTGGAAGCTCCTCTCCTTCCCCCACCCCCTCGTCCCTATCAAAGTGTCAGAGCTGAAGAAAAACTGTGAGTGTGATAGATGCGCCTGGCTCTGCTTGCCAGTGCTCTGCCTGTGTGCAGGGGGTTATTTACTGCACTGCTTGGCTTGTTTCTTCTTTAGTGGTGGCGGTGGCAGCATTGGGGTTTGGTACCTGGGATGGAGAGGCAGGCTGTGGTTTAGCTGAGCTTTGGGCTGGAGCAAGCAGGGCTAGGGAAAGGTTGCTTGGGCACAGGGGTCAGATGGCTAAAAGATGAAGTTATGGGGGTGTGGATCCTGGCTGGCGGCTTGGCCCAAAGGGTGGATGCCAGGAGCCATTACACCCTCCTGGCTTTAGCTCTGCTGGGTGTGGGTTAGCTCACCCAAAAGAGCAGCTCTTAAAAGCCACCCATATTGCCCCAGTCCCTGTGCAACCCTGCAGACACATGTTACTGCTCTTGGCAGCGTGTGGCAGGGACCTGACCTGCCATGCAGGTGAAAACACAGGGGCCTGTGCCCCAGCTCCAGAAACAGAGATTGACCCTCCTGTGCTCCCCGACCAAGCTGGAGCCTTCCCGCTGTTACTGGGAGCAGCTGGGATGATGGGCAGATGGGTTGCTGGAGTTCAGCTGAGCTAACCCTTCTTCTGGGGCTGGAACCGTGGCTCTGCCTCTTCCCCACGTGCAGCCACTTTGGCTCTGTTCCTGCCCCAGAGCTGGGACGAGACACCACGTCAAGCCCCGAAATGCCACTCTTGCCTCTCTCATGGGATTCCCAGTGGCTGCTGGCATTTGGCCCCTGTGTTGCAGGAGCATCCCAAAACAGCCGTGCCCGGTTGAAAGTCAGGTCAGGAGCCTGCCCTCCTGTAGTCTTGCCAGCCCTTCCCCACAGGTGTGCTGCTGATAGATCCCAAGCCAGGGAGATGCTTTCCACAGGCTCAGAGAGGTTTGCAGACGAGCAAACCAAGCCCTGCTGGCTCCCCGTGCAAGCTCTTGTCCGTGAACTCCCGCGCGTCTCTCGCAGCCGGGCTTGTGGGAACAGATCGGAGGCTGCTGTGACTCAGCTGCTTCTCCCCTGAGAAAATCCTCCCTGGCACCACGCTGGGCTCTGTGGCTGGGGCTGCCGGCAGCTGGCAGCCTTCATCAACAAATGGCCTTGGGCAAAACATCCCAATTTCCACTGCCGAACACTTACAGGGGAGAAATCCAGCATCTGATCTTGTGGGAATTCGGGGCAGCAATGCTGCTGCTGTACTGAGCTGGAGGGAAAAGTCCGGTCCCTTCCCAAAACAGAGCCCTGGGCTGGAGCGGCTGCAGCACGGCTGGCTGTTCCGCTGCTTTCTGGTCTGCCCCTGTCTTTTTCCAACTCGCTATAACTTTCTCAGACAAATTCTTCTGCAATTGTAATTTTCCTTATTGGCTCTCAGCCTGAAGAAACAGTGGTTTGGAAAGTTTGCTCAATGACTTGAAGGGAAGAGGCTCCAGAGCCTTTCATGCTCTGTGCCCGCTGGAATATTTTTTTTCCTGGGGCTAATCTGCGGAGCATCACGCTTGGCTTGATGAGTCCATGATGCTCTCGGGAAACAAAGCCAAATCTGATGAGTGTTCACTCAGTGGCTGGCAAGAGTGCTGCTGCCAGGCTCCAGGCATTGCCCGTGGATCTTCTGCTTCACGCAGCACTGCTGGCCAGGAGCCTGGGCAGGCTGGCCCTGGGGTGAGCAGAGGAGACCACTGAGATGGCAGATGCTAGAGCAGTGAGACCAACACTGTGGTGTGGGGCTGGTCTGGTGTGCTCCCTGCTGGGCTTTTCTTCCACAGAAGGAGGCAAAGCAGTGATGTTGATCTTGCAGAGTAGTTGAGGGATGGAGGGGCCTGGAGAAAAACCTAGTTTGGTCATTGTTGCTTTCTCATGTCGAAAGGGAAAGGTACCCAATTTTCCGCTGGTAGTTTTGACATTATAATGTGCCTCTCAGCACAGTGTGGGCTGGCACAGCTTTAGCATGGGTTTCACAACTCTTTTGTGGGTTTCATAAATCCCCAGCTGCTGGAGTGTTGTGATTTTGTAACTCCCAGCTGGCTCTCAAACCAGTCTGGAGAGCAGCTTGAAACGGTCCAGCTGCCTGCTGCCCCTAGGACTGTAGATTTGGCAAACCAAATCCCAGATGCTGGGGTTTTATCCTGCTTTTCTTGCTTGGGGCAAGGGAAAAGGCAGGCTGCAGGCACCGCCAGGGAGGAGCTGGATCTGCCCTGGGAAGGAGTTTCCTACCAAAGTCTGCAGATCCTGGTCAGCCCCATGGGTTTGATAGACACTGCAACCCCAAAGCTGGGGGCTTTGTGACATGCTGCTCCTGTGGCATGTACCCATGCCAGCGTATTTCCAATTTCATGCTGACTGTTATTCAGTTCTGCTAAATGTCTGTTCGTATTTGTGCTGCTGTGATCCACAATGAAACCCTCTTCCTGGCCAAATCTGGTTCCCAGCACTGGGGGCAGGAGTCTCCTGCCAGTCACCCAGGACACCTCTGGGCATGGGGCATCCCCTGTGGTCCTGGCCATGCAGGATGAACTTGAGAGGGGGAAAGGGGACTGAAGGGGATGGAGCCTAGGGGCTGGCATGTTTCAGGGTGACAGGCAGGGTGATGGTCCACTAGGGCCCAGGGTGGCAGTGGAAGCTGAGCTACAACCCAACCAGACAACGCCTCATCGCCAGCAGAGCTTGATGCACAGCGGTATCTTGCATTAAGCAGCTTAATGTGTCTTTTTATGCTGCGATGGGGTCCCCCATGTCACTGTAGGAAGTCTGCAGGCTGACAGTGCCTGGAGAAATGTCTCTGGCTGTGGGTCCAGCAGGGAGCACCTGGCAGCACTGCCGCCCCAGGTGCTGAGCTGCAACCTGAGTGCCTGCAGGTCAGCGGCTCCTGGGCTCGGGGTGAGTGCAGCATGTGTGCTGGGAGAGCTGATCCGCGCTAATCCTATCAATATTTCACGGTGCTGTGGCCCTGTTATAATTCCTCACGTCATCTGGGATGCTGGCTGGGACAGGGGTGCAGTGCCAAGTGAAACATGAGAGCTGCCACAGCTTCTCCCTGACTCCTTGGACATTGAAGAGGCGAAAGGAGCTGGCTGTGGGCGTTTCTACCCACTGCTGTGGGTAGGGTTATCTGTCAGTGATGGGTGAACCCAAACATGCCAGCTGAGCCTGGGCATCCACCCGGCTTTGCCGTGTGCCAGAGTGGTGTGGCTGTGCTGTGATGGGCAGATGCTCCTGGTGTGGACGGGGTTGTGACATGGGACAAAACTGCTCTGCTCAGTCCTCTCTCTGTGGGACATGGTGTTAAAGTGATAATAAGAAGAAATTAAACAGTAACCAGACACTGGGCTGGTGATCAGGGCACTAAAGCATCTTCTTTTCCTAAAGGCTGTTTGGATTAACGGGTAGAGAGCATTAGGGATAAAATCTCCTTGCCTGGTTGTGGGAAGGGTGGTTTCCTAAGGTGCAGTGGCATGACCTGAAGGGCCCCCTGCTCCAAGTTGTCCCCTGGGCTGGAACAGGGGCTGCAGGACTGCTCCAGCAGGAAATTCCCCTTCCAGCGCATTGCTGGCTCTGAGTTGAGGTTAGAGCACAAGCAAGATCTGGCTCAGCATCACTCCTTTGCAGGGCAGAGGGACGCAGGTGTAGGAGAGGGTCGGGTCTGGTTTGGCTCCTGCCTGCTGCCGCCTCCATCGCACTCTGGCTCTTGGGAAAGCCGTGCAAATAAGAGCTAGGCCCTGGCCTTCAACCTTGCGGGGCCCTAAATTCCTTCAGTTAATCTCACGGGGGCAGCAGAGCAGGCGAAGGCTTTGAAAATAGATCTGTTTCCAGCTGCCGATGAGTCGTGTTAATTAATTAAAGCCTTGCAAGCTTGGGCCTGTAAATATGCAGTGGTGAACGCGCCGGGCTCTGCTCGCTCTTTGCTCACGCACTAATTACCCCACTGCAAGGCCAGAAGCTAACACAGCTCCAGTTTGTACTGGGTTCGGCTTGCAGCCACGTGGGAGGGTGCCTGCCTGTGCTGCCCGCGCCGGCTGGGAGTATTGCCGTGGGACAAGACGTGCACACTGCCCTGGAGAGGGAGGGAGCCTTGGGCAGCCTGTCTCAGCCCTGGTACTCTCTTCCCCTGCGCTCATGGACCAGTTCTCCCCATAACCAGCCCCGCAGCCTCCAGCTGTGCCTCTGCTAAGGTAGGGGATGGGGTTTGGAGAGGATGTGGGGGACCGGCCACCTTGCAGCATGCAAACCCTTGATCCCTGGGTAAGACAGGCTGGCCAAAAGCATCCCTGCTTCATGGGCAGTGCCTGCTGCTTCAGCCTGCCCTCCTGCTGCCTGCGCAGCACTCCAGGACTGGCCAGGCGTGGCTGTGGGTGAGTCCGGCTGCCAGTGCGTGGGCATCCCACTTCCGCAGGGTGGGCAGCGAGGTGAGGCACTGTGAGGTGTGGAGGGGATGCCGGGGTTTTGCCCAAGGACAGAAGGAGACAGTAATTAGCTACTGGAGCATACAGGAGGGGAGGGAGGGAGGACAGAGAGCACTCGAGAAGGTGGGTGATGTCTCTCTCAGCTCTCCTGCAGTCTTTGGGAGTGGGTCCTGGCATCTTGTGCCAGGTGAGGGGATGATGGCTGCTTGGTGTGTGCATGTGAGGGTGATGGGAGCCACCCTGTCTGCAGAAGCACCCAGATGGGTCCCTCCTCAGCTGAGACCTGTCAGTGTGTGAGAACTGGGAGATTCAGACCTCCACTACTCTCCTTTCCACTCACAGCATTTTTAGGAGGCTGGATCCTGGCCTTGAGAGGCCTTGTCAGAGGCTTCAAGTCAGAGGCCTCGAGAGTGGTGTGTTAGCCGGGGTCCCTACAGGAGCACCCTGCCCCTGACACCGTTACTGACCCTTAAAAGGTCCAGGTAGTGGGGACACCTCAACCAGGGCTGATCCTTGACCCCAGACAATGCTCAGCAACGTCACCACAACCTGCTCAACAGTAAGCTCTACCATGGGTCTGGCTCCAGGCCTGCAAGGTGTGGGGTCAAGATGGCCCTTTGCCTCTTACTGTAGACTCCCAGACCCTTGTGGGGAGTCGATGTGGAGGGGATGAGCCAGCGTTGAGGGGGCTCATGGTGGGACTGGGCCCCTTGTAACCACGGGCTGGCAGCACCCAGCCACCCTGCCAGCTTCGGGAGCTGTAATCTGGCGTGCGCAGGTACAGCATCTCCCCACCTCCTGCTCCAGCTAATCCCAGTTGCCCTAGATCCAACCTGCTGATTACATACAGCTCTCGGGGTTTCGCTTTCGGGAGGCCTGCCACCGTGACGGGTGAGGAGGGAGGGTTGGCCAGGCGCTGAAAGCTTGCGAAAGGAAAGCAAACACAGGCCCGGACCTGGCAGCTCCTGCCCGGGGGGAGGAGCTGCAGAAGCTACCCAGGACAAAAAGGCTCCACACACGGCCCTAGAGAAACCATTACCTGCCTGTGTTTCCAAACAAGTTTCCACCATGGGTAAACACAGACTAAAGGGGGAGGCATGTGCTAATAGGAGGGAAAAAATGGGGCACGGCGCCTTGGTCAGGTGTGTGATGCGGGATGTGAGGAGCCTCGTCGGGCACCGTGGCACCGGCTGGGTGGCTGTGGTGTGATGACACCGCATGTGCCTTGTTGGCAGAGCGGGATGATGCTTATCTGCATTCGGTAATGCTTTTTTATAGTTACAAGCCAGTGTTTCCAGCCCTCTGCCTCCCTGGCCTTGCAAAGGGCTTGAACGCAGGCTCCTCTGCCAGAGGCCGTTTTGCGGTTGTATAACCCAAACAGCCCCTGCTAAGCGACCCCCCCCGCCCCGAGCCCTCCCCATGCGTCCGATG